GATGGATGGATGGATGGATGGATGGATGGATGGATGGATGGATGGATGGATGGATGGATGGATGGATGGATGGATGGATGGATGGATGGTATTTAGTTTTTTTTGTACTGAAGAAAAAACAAACATGTTATTTTTCTGCAAAACTTTGTAAAACCTTCTACTATTTTAAGAAGTGCTTAGAACCCCCTGCTGGTCTCTGATCTTAAAGAGGACAAGATAGAGCAGAAACAATTAATATGACTACCGGTAGTTGTTATTAACAAATTACTGAAAGAATCATTCAATAATATAGTAACTGAATAATCACAAACAGAATATGCATACTCTGAAACATGCCTACGCAAAGCAGCAAATAGAGCAAATTACGTGTGCTTGAAAGTGTTCCTGCCCTCCCATTAAAGCAAATCATAAACCCACTATAGTAATTTAAATAACACAAAACTGTAAAAGTAATAATATACAAAAATTACTAAATTATAATTTAGTGAAATAAAATATTTATTTTGAATTTATGTCCAAAAATACCTCTGAAAAGCAAATTGTCCCATACAAATGAATTACCTCACCTTACCTGTAAACAGGTGCAGATGTCTTACTGAACATTTTCTAAATATTACAGAAAACACCAGATTTCATTTATGATTTCAGTTTCCTCAAAGTGTTGCTCAACAAATTTAGGTCCAGGAGCTTCATTAGGATTGTTTACTCATTTTTTCTATTAATATTTACATATGCATGTATGTAAATGTATTCAAAATAAATGTAATGATTTTCATTTTTTATCATTTCTATTTAATTTTACCTTTGTCAATTCCAATTTATCTTACTGGCAGCTTTTTTTTTTTTAATGCAAAAATTCAAGCACAACTTATATGTATCAGTATACATAAAATGTAAAACATCTTTGTCTGCAAATATAAACCCCAGAACTCTTTGAATGATTTTTTTGAACATTAAACTCTGTTTTTCTAATATGTTTTAGCTATGCAAGAGATATCTTGGGTTGTTAATTTGAAACACTTGTTTATTGGGACATGTTCATTTACTCTAGAATAGTTTAAAAAAATGATTGCTAGATTAGTTGATTCCTCAAATAACCGATGTATGTACAGTATATGGTGCGCACCAAACCCGGAAATGAAAGAAAAATACAATAAAGGGAGTCCAGCTTACAGGACCTCTGTTCTGAATATTTGTTCTATAATAACAATTGTAAAATCATTGTCAAGTGCACCTGGATACATTTTATTCCTAATTTTGAAATAAAAACATCAAAGATTGAGTCCTACAAGCTTGAAAATAATTACTGCATGCTGGCAGCAGGGTTGCCAAGGAACAGACAGCAGATCCAGTATGGTTTTAGTCCCATGTTAACTATAGTGGAGCGTTAAACCCACATGACATTATCTGGCCTTGTATGCTTCATATTTCCCCCAGAAACAAACCGCACCGCTATTTGTTTGGAATAAAAAGACCACCTGTAAAACATCCGGTTGTTTGGTTCAGATCAAGTTTTGCTTCAGTGCATTCACACTTGCACAAAACGTCCAGACCAGGTGGAAAAACTAAATCTTGTCTGCTTAAGGCAGTGAAAAGGTGGCTAATGTAAATAAACCTAAATAAACTCATAGTTAAGTCAAGTTATTCTTACATAACATACATTAAATTGTTTTTTTTAACACCTGTTTTACCTTTTGCATAGAAGTTTGGATACATATTAAGTGAATATGTTGGTATACCTAAGGAATTTATAAAGGAAACCCAGCTGATTGTATGGAGTCGCTGATCTGCAGAAGTAAACCCACCTTAATGAACGTGTCACACTACAAGACAGTCGCTTCAATTGTCATTGACTTTCCAGCAATACCTCATACAGAGCATGTATGTTGAAGTGAGACTTGATCCTAAAACAACTCCATTATATTTGACCTTTACTTTCCCCTCTTTTCATGGTTTGACAAAAACTTTGGGTCAACAGCTAAAAATATGAATGCAGTCAAAAATGGCTTGCACTGCAAAAACCATCTAGAAATAAGTACAAAATTTCTTAAAATAAGTGCATTTACCCTTAATTTTACTAGGTAAATAAGGCGATTTGCCAATGGAATGAGTATTTCTACTCCTAAAATAAGACAATTAGATAATATTCACTTGAAATAAGACAAAGCAATTGTTTTTTTCTTATTTTAAATGTAAATTGTCTTGTTCCATTGGCAAGGTGTCTCACTTATCTCCTCAATTCAAGACAAAATTCACTCAATTTAAGCAAAAATAACTCATACAGATTTCCATTTTTTGCAGTTTGAATTCACTCTTTATTTAAAGAACAATGTTGTAATGAAGGACTTCCCTATTTGATTGTAAAAACCTCTGTTGTATCTTTCTAAAAATTACTGTGAAAATCATACACTAAATATGAACATGGGAAAGATAATCAAAATTTTTTTTAAGAAATACCTACTAATTAAACCAAAAGCTGTCTTTTGTTGTCAAACAATTGCTGGTATCAGTTATGCATTTTAATGCAAAAGTAATCAAGCGTGGCATTTTAAAAACGCCAGAGTCACTAATGTGGTTAGTATTGGCTGTAGTTTCCATATTATATGTATCTTAAATCATACATCCTACTTTGGGTGTCCTGCCATCACTAAATGCTCAAAAAGCAATTTCTCAGTGGTTTAATATTTGTCCCTAGGATTCCATACCACATATTAATTCAAATTTAAGGCTTTTGTTGCAGAAAAAAAAAAATTCAGAAATTTAAATTTAGCCTTATAGGTTGTAAAATTTTAGAAATAAACCAAACAAACAATGATTCTATACATTTTATATCAAACTTATGTTTGTAGTTAAAGAAAATACATATTTTTTATTCCAATATAGCAGCAACTAGAAGACTGTCTAAAATTATTTACTTTCACTTATGCCATTGGAATTTACAGTTTAAATACTGTATGTTGTGGGTTGGCTCCAGCTTTCTTCCCTGCCATTAGTTTAATTGCCTTTAGGAAAGACACCTATCAAAAAGTTGTCTACTTCTGTATGAGTATCTGCATTGCTGGAAATATGACTTCATAAAAAAGCACAGGTAAGCTTTATATATTTGAGATTAATCCATTACAATAAAAACAATTTTTTTCAAAGATTTGCACAAAAAAAGCTTCAATATCCTGATTGTACATCCTTTTTTTGTTTTACTTGCTTTTAAAAGTAAAACAAATTTTACAAATGGTTTTTATTTTTCATTCTGCTTTTATTTTTCTTCTATTTTATTATCTAATTCGTGTGAAGCACTTTGAATTTGTCAATGTACTGAATTGTGCAATACAATTAAAATTGCCTTGCAGGCTCTGCCTTGTTAAACTTCTCAGGATCTATCAGACTGAAAACGTCTCTGCTCACCAACACTTAACTTTGTTCTCTTGCAGGACTAAACCAATCTTTTAATTTCTCTCTCATTAGGCTGTGGATTTGGATTAATGCCCGTTTAAATCACTAATAAAATTAGTCGTCAGCTATTTAGCAGAGAGCTTTAGTACAAAACTCACTTTTATTTAAAAATATTGGACTTAAAAGTTTAATTTGACCGTAAAAAAAAAATATAATGGTTCAGCCATTACAGTATTTCCCTTTGAGTTTGGTTTTCTTTCAATGTCTTGTTTTTATATATATATATATATATATATAAATATATATATATATATAAATAAATATATATATATATATATATACACTCACCGGCCACTTTATTAGGTACCCCATGC